TATGCGCTTATTGCCATACTTACTTTGCCGGTTGTTTTGTGTGTCTATGTATACATTAGCATCTCTTCCTCTCTGTGTGTCTATATATATATATATATATATATATTAGCATCCTATGTAAGTGTCTATATATACACACTAATATATAGATATATATCTATACATACATATGGGAAAGATTGGGTTTTGATCAGATTTTGTTTATAGAGAGAGAATATGGAAGAGGCAATGTTTGTAGAGAGAGAATGGGAAACGGGTTTTGACCGGATTAATGTTTGATGGATCTGATGGCATGGTAGAGAGAAAGCAAGAGAAGGGAGTTGGGTGAGGTGTCAAGTTGTAATTGGTCTTTAAGATTCCAGCTGCCTTATCTTACAAGTAAATGTATAAGTGCCAAAACGACGTAGTTTTAGTGAAGGGTACAATTGTCTTTTGATTTTTTCGATCAACCTAACTGCCGGATTATCCTCAATTGCAACAAATTGATAATTCAAGGAGGTTTTTTTGTAGTTCATGAGAGTTATTTGCAAAACGCTCATAATTGAGGGAGTTTTTTTTACACTTTATCCTATATATAATAAACTCATACCGCGCTTATATATACACTAACATACACAAGTAAACAATTCTAAGCTCACATATACTCGCACACACCGTAACGCCCGCCATTACACTCAAAAATAAATGCACCAAAGAATGAATTACTCCGTGTAATTCTTAAGAAAAAAAATTATATGATTTGTTGTTAATACTTTTAATTATTAATTGTTCTTAAACCCTAAAATAAATATTTTCCTTGAAGAAATTCCTTTTTGCACCACTTTACTTTAAATATCGTTTTTCTGAAAAGAAATAAAAAAATAAAGTAAATAAAAACAATGCTAAAAATTATAAATTCTTACAATTTATATAGATTCACCACAATTAATTTTAGAGAGAATTTTTTAAAGTGAAAATATAAAATTTACCATTCATATATACTATTATTTTATTACATTTTCTTATTCTTTGGGTAAATTATAATATTTTTATGCTACCTAAATTGTAAGTTTCTTTCCCGAAGAGTGTGAGTGGAATTTTTTGGAAAGGGTCAAGTGCAAAAAAAAATCCTTGATATATAGGGTTTGTGTAGAAATACTATACGAACAGGGGTTAGTTGTACCAAATTGATAGTATAGGTAGATTTTGTATAGTATTGGGGAATTTTATACCACACGGGGACGATTTTGCATTATATTGATAGTAGTGATTTTTTTTTTTTTTTGCACTTAACCCTTTTGGAAATGATAGTAATATTGTTTTTATTGATTGATTGGTTTGGTTAAGTTTATTGATTGGTTTTGTACTGGGTTGGAATTAATGTAATCAGATAACTTTAACAAAACTTATTATTTTTGGGTAAAGTATAAAAAAATCTTTAAACTATTAACTATATTTGAATTTGCAAATAACCCAACTATATTTTATCTATAATACCTCCCAAATTATCATATTTTTTTACAAAATATCCGGATACGTATACTATATTTCATTAAATGACTATAATGCCCCTTTTTAATGAATTACACTTAATCTATTTTTTTTATTTAAATAAATTATGAAAAAAAAACTTTTTAATAATTTGATTACATATTCTCCATTAAATTTACATAAATTTACCTTTAATTTGTTTAATTAATTTTTAAAATAAAAATCTTTAGTTGAATTTTTTTTTAAATTAATTAATTAATTATTAAATTTTTAATTAATATATTACGTGAAAAGAAGGTATTTTTTATTTAAGTAATTTATTAATTTTTCATCAATATATTGTATGAAAAATAAGATATTTTTCTACAGTAGAAAAGTTTAAACTAGTTGTAATAAGTTAATCATCTTATAAAATAGTAGTTACAAATCTATTTATCCTTTTTTTTAATGATAAATTGATACTAATAATAAAATTAAGGAAAATAGTATAATTAATATTTAGATAAGAGAAAAGATAATAAAAAATAATTTACTAAGAAATGAAAATTTTAATGACAAAGGTTAAAATAGTTTTTTTTGACATATTTGTCCTTAATTATAACAAATCAATAGTTTAAAAAGGCAAATTTTAATTAAGGGAGATTATTTGTTAAAGAGGTTTTTTTTGCCAATTATTTTATAAAGTTTGTTAACTTGATGTTTGGGTAATTTAGCATAGCCTCATTTAAAAAGAGCAAAACGTTATCGTTTCTATAAATGCATAGGCGAATGCAGAGACCCAAATGCCGAAGATCCTTTCCCAAATGGGGACCAAAGCTCTGTTGCTGAGGTTGCGAGGCATGCTTGGTTTTTGTCTATGGACGCAATGGACCTTACAATGCATAATGCAGTCCAGTTGGTGATTTGGTTTTAGTTTGTTGTTGTGAATTATTTTTGTATTGGAAATGGTCCTACTCCATTTTCCAAGAGTTGTGATATGAGGGTACACCCTCATTTTATCATATAATCCCTCCATTCCAAAAAAAAAATTAAAAAAAAAAAAACAAGTAACCATTTTTTATTTTTGGGGTAACCAAAATAATTATATACTTTCCTTTTTCAAACAAAATAAGTCTTACTTTTTCTTATATATTCTTAGAGTTTAAAATTTCAAATTTGAATATTCAAAATTTAAAAGGACAAGCTAGTAACTTTCCAAGAGGGACAATGCTTGTCCCACGTGTCCCCTTAAAATTCTATACTCCCCACAAGAGATGTTCTTTTGGAACAGAGTGAGTACTAATTTTTTCCTATCCAATGATATGAAATCTACTTGATTATGAAAAAAACAAAAAACAAACAAATGGAAGAATTAGTCCCTCCTTCATCACACACACAGCGGAAGTATCATCTTATCACATCACATCAACACAAGCATATATAGAGATAACAATCATATACATTCACGCACAACAGAACATAGTTCACCCAACTTTAGGACTACGTCCATGGAGAGAGAAATTTCATTATTATGAATCAAGAAAAAGAATATACAACAACATGTCAAAACCCCACTCACTCGCTCATCATCCCTTTTGAGGCTACATGTATACACTCAGGAATCACGTATACTCTTTGTGACACTCCCTAATTTCTACATATAAGTTGGTCAGGCTTACGTATAAAAATTAGGAGATATCGAACACTTGATAATAAACAAGCACAGAGTATAACATGCAATAATGAAATAAATAAAGGCGGAAGGAAAAAACTAGCATTAAATAATTCCAACATCCATAAATCCTTGAACTCCATTTATTGCAACTTCGGAAATCTCCTAACTCAAGGACCCCTAAATCCAAAACTAAAAGTACTATTCATAAACTCTTAAAATCTAAAAATAATAATAGTAAGTCCCTACACTGTAATAACCAAAAGAATAGATGATGACAATAATCTCAAGAGCACTGAGTCCTCAACCCTATGGCTGGAACTAACATGGACTTGAAATAACAACAAAAAATGAGTCAAATCCACGAGCAAGTCCTCTATACTACTGCCCAATCAGAGAACCGATAAACCCATCATCTCTAACCAAAACCATCCCAATAATAACCCATAAACATAAGATAGCAAATATATGTATAAAGTAATAGGCAACTCAACCATACCTAAGCAAATCAACCATGCCTTAAACAACCAAAAGAATAGATGATGACAATAATCTCATGAGCGCTGAGTCCTCAACCCTGTGACTGAAACTAACATGGACTTGAAATAACAACAAAAGATGAGTCAAATCCACGAGCAAGTCCTCTATACTACTGCCCAATCAGAGAACCAATAAACCCATCATCTCTAACCAAAACCATCCCAATAATAACCCATAAACATAAGATAGCAAATATATGTATAAAGTAACAAGCAACTCAACCATACCTAGGCAAATCAACTATGCCTTAAATTAAACCATGTACCCGGGTAACTCAATCATGCCAAAAGGTACTTGCAAGATTGCATTGATAGTCAACCCATAGTAGTTCCATATTACATCCAATCCATAACATGATAAATATCATTTATAGCACATACCATATGAAGTTTATACATTCCCCATCCACATTATGTTTAATAACATTTATAGCACATAGTATGAGATTTATTTATCCTTTCCCATTATTAATATCGACGTAGCATGATACCTTACGCGAACTACTCTAACGTCGCCTAGGGTCCAAGGGGGCGGCGCGACAAAACCTCACTGTTTTGAAAAATTATCAAATTACGGGGATTAAAATACTTCTGCAGGAAACATGAGTTTCAATCGGCTGAAACCAGAATTCAGTCGGCTGAAACACAATTGTCAATCGGCAAACACAGTTTTAGTCGACTGAAACCACCTGGGTGTGAATTCTTTTAACTAGTTGCGGGTTCTCATACTAAAACATGATAATCTAATTTCGAAAAGCAGAGACAAAACCAATGGTCAATTCATGAAGCTGCCATGAATTGACCAAACCACCCCTACCTTTCTAGGTTTGAGCACATAAGACTACCAATATTTCATTTCGGCCTTATGCTAGTAGCAGCTAACAAGATTATTAAAAAAAAGGCGTCACAAAAAGTTTAAAATATCCCCCAACATTTACAATACAACCAGATGGAAACTTATAAATTACAGAACCTATAAAACAATATTTTGGTCTAAACTGATAAATCGCTAAATTAAACAAGAAGCAAATTATATACTCCCTCCGTCCCAAATTAAGTGTCACCTCTCCGTCCCAAATTAAGTGTCACCTTACCTAATTTGGGACGGAGGGAGTATAAATTATGCTCCATTTCTTTTTAATACAGTAATTTTCTAGAATTTGTTCTAGAAAGACAGTCAAAAAAGTTTCAAATACAATCATCCATGGTTCTTTGAAAACTATTATCTTCACAAAAGTCTAGAAATAGTATTCATGATAACTGAACCAACTAGACCAGTACTTTCCTGATACCACATTCTATCTCTACTTTAAAACACACAACTTCCTCCCATGCCGGTGTGTATCAATCAATCTTTAAACTTTCTCGTGTTATTAACAAATAACAAGTCTAAAGAAGCTCTTTCACAAGTCTTCTTATTCCTCACGGAGGAAAACGATGAATAAAAAATATATGGAGTTCTAAACTTGAGAGTGACAAACCACAATACAAATACAGGTATCAAGCCACAGTTACAAAAGAAATACATGATAAGAAGAATACACGAGGGCTGCAGCTCATACAGGAATTCTTTCTTTTCTTCTGTTCTTTTTTCCCTGGTGGTGTTCGGGGTAGAGAGAGAGGGTAGTCGTACTGTAAAGGAGAAACATGAACTTTGTTTTTCATTTGGAAATCCAGGGATAATATATAACACAGCAGGACCAGTACCAACAAGACATCAATCAACGCTGCCTGTTTTTGTGGAACTCCTTTTACAGACTATATAACACATGGAGAAAATGCCACCACATCCATACGAAGAAAATCGACAATTGTAGTGAAGAGTATGAATTACCCAGCTAGAAAGAGCTCCAATTATCAGAACCTTTTTTTGCTGTTTGACTCTCTGTTGAGACCTTAAAAGGACCATTTGAGCCAAATGGGTCCGCGTCATCAAAAGAAGAGAACCCTCGACTATGGTCGAAGCCTCTGCTGCTGTCTATGGAGTCAAACCTTGTGAGGGTATCTCGTCGAGGAGAAAATCCATGGTCATTCATGCTGAAGGAATCAAACCTTGAGCTATTGTCAAAGAATGGGTCCACCGATCCCACACTGTACCTCGGTGGAGAGTTACCAGCCCTGGAAAATGGAGTACTAGGAACAGAATCCTCAAAGGTAAACGGGCTTTTCCGCTCAAACGTGCCATCTGCATTGGGAGATTCGGTTTTTATTGGATTTATGTCCAAGTCACCAGATGTAAAGAAATACTTCTCTCCATGCTTCTCGTGATCCGAGTTCTGCAAGATAAAATCAGTTAGATGCCAAAAATAGATCCAAAGGAAACAACCAGATCCCTACAGCAGCTACCAGAATAGCATTATCTTACACAGCATACAATTATTACCAGCAAGTTAAACATTATTAAGCTACTCCAAGAATTTAAGTTTCAGTTTGATATGCTTTTCCGCATAAAACAACAAATTTGATGATGATGATGGTGATGGTAGTGGTGGCGGCAGTGGTTCACGAATAATAGTGTGATGCTGATAGAAGAGACGCAGATTACGTCACATCACCGGTCAGTCCGAGCATAGAAGAATAATCCTCTTTGTATTATTACATGCCGGACACACACACACAAAGAAATCAAACCACCATTCCACAAGTTCAATCAATGAAACTGCTTGTCCAGTATGTATTAAAAAGGTCAGCAAATCTATCCAGATCAAACATTGAACACTTCTCCAAGTTGCCATGTTGCCTTCTATCATTTACAACCTGATGGCATTTAATTCCCTATTAAAACATCATCGTCGTCGTCACCCTTTCCTTAATCCTATATGAATGGGGTCAGCCACATGAATTCTCTCTCCAAGCTTTTTTATTACTTGCCATTTCACCTGCTATATTTAACTTTATAAAATCATTTTTAACAACCTCATCCCATGTTATTTTTGGTCGCCCTCTCCGTCTCTTACCTTCTATTACAGCCAGTCTTCCTCTTTTGACTAGCGCCTCTCTAGGTCTCTGATGTACGTGTCCAAACCATCTAAGTCTACTCTCAGATTTTCTCACCAATGGGTGTTACACCTAATTTCTCTCTCACCTTCAGTAGTAACCCTATCTATTCTAGTCACTACACTCGGTATGCATAAATGCCATTTAATGAAAGTGTGGCAAGAATTCATAAATAAGTCTTGACCAGCCAAAAATAAGCTAAATAATGAACATGCTCCAAATGCCAACTTCTATGATGTAGAAAGCACAGTAATATGAGGGGCACAAATGTGCAAAAGAGTCAACTTACTCTAGTGCCAACACCATTAAAGCCCCACACTGAATCTATGTCATCGTTGTTGTCAAAGGTACCCCAACTCGGTTCATCAAAACTCCTGTCCACAAAGTTAGGATTCAGAACAACCATTGTAACTGAACAAGTACAAAAAGAAATTAATCCACCCATACCTATGGGTTTCTGTATCTGCTTCAGGGCTCTTTCTGAAATGGTTTTCAGAATATTCCTGAGATGGGATCTCAAATGCCGCTTGTCTCACTGGACTGCCAGGTGGGCTTTTTGCCAATTCATCTTCACTCTCAAGGGCAGGTTCCCCTTTAGCAAAAAGTTTCTCCGATTTGTCATCAGCATGTGACAATGAATCAGGGGATAGACTATCAATTGGAGAAGAATTTTCATTCCAAACAGACGTGGATTTGGTTTTTGGAGGCATACCAACATCAAAAGAAAATCCTGAAAGTACAAATTTAGAATAAGAAAAACATGTGCTGTGAGATATATGCAATTTATAAATATACCCGTCAGACATTTGGAGTAAAGTTGACACCATTGTTAGACAGAAAAAGAAGAAGAAAATAAAATGAACTACAAAAATGAAAGGACCTAATAAGATCTCATGTCAAAACTAAGGACGCCGTACCTTCGTCTTCAAACTTATCCCAATCTTCATCCCAAACAGCAGCTACCTCCGGGACTCCAGGTTGCCAGCCTTGACAAATGATCATTTCAAAAGAAAGTTCTTGAGTATACAAGAGCATCCCAGGAGAAAAGTACCAAGTAAATATTGAGATACTTATAAGGCAGCAAAATCAAAGTTTTGCCCTCTCATTTCTAAGAAAAGAGAATAATATGAGCTTATCTCTTCACCTATTGTAGTTTTATTACGTTGGTTACGGAAATTCTCTCTTTTGCATCAGTCATTAATGAACTAACTATACAACTTATTGATGAGATTCCATGGTGTGTGCTTATGATCTGATCAGTGATTACATCGTTTTAATTCATAAAGCTAAAATAGGTGTAAATATGCTAAAAGAGAGATCTAGATAAAAACTCAACAATCAATAGAATTAAGGTAAGTAGGAACTAACAAAACTAGGAAGACAAAGAAGGAGAAATTGAAAATTGATGATCTAGAGACACCAAAAAACAAACAGTTCTATTTCTAAGCTGAACTATGTACAAGGAAGGATACATAGAAAGTAATGAAGCTCAAAATATTAAAGGACAGGTTAATTATGTATACCTTAAACCCAATACTGTTTGGCAGCCTACAGATCTGCAAGTGTTTTTCCTCTCTCAAACTTATCTCTTTCTCTCTTCTCATATGTGTGAAGTTTCTCAATTTCTTGGCCTTTTCATGATGAATCTTATACAAGTTTTCTTCTTGGTTGAAGATTTACAGTCGTGGATGCTTCAGAAACCCCAAATTGATTTCTTATCATTTTGTTGTTGGGTTGGGTTGTTTATTCAACTGGACACAGAAAGATTGGCTACACCCAGAGAAGCAAAATTTATTTTACCTCATGTTCTCACTTTTGAAAGGATTTCTAAATTCTCTGCGTAAATCAGATGTATTTGTGATATTATCTTATATTTCAGCTTGGTCCTGTATTTGGATAACAATCCAAATCTTCCTTGCTTGGAATTTGCAAGAACTTTGTGGAGGCAATCTTGCCTAGGATGGAGGCAATTTTTTTTCTGTAATTTCAGCTGCTAAGTTTCACCAAACTTGCAAGCAGCAATGGTTCTGTGAATTAAAAATCCACCATCACATGCAAAAGAAGGAACGTGAACAAGTCCAAGACTGTATTTACCATTACCTACGCCAAAAGGAATTTAGTGACCCTCCTGTTCAAGCTATAAGTTATGCTTGCTTATCATTTGAAAAAAATTACAACTACAGCAATCCAAAAAACAAAAATAAAAACAAAATTATTGAACTTACTTTTGTTATTTTACTTTCAAAATTTTGAAAACAATGCGCATTAATGAACTTGATTTTACTTTCTATTTTAGATCCAAGAAAGCAAATGAAATTAAAATCATGATTTTACTTTTGATGAAAGTAGAAGTAGAAATCACTTCCTGTTAGTATATGGCCCCTTAGTAAAAGCTAATCAGAAGCAACTACACCGAAGAAAAAGAAGAAAGAAGAACAGGGGCAACACGTGTCCATAGAAAATAACACAAAATAATTTGGATAAGTGCATGACAATAAAAAAGGCGGCCATTATTCAGTGTTGTTCCCGCCTACGCGGGATGTTACAAAGGGAAGACTAGAGTCAGATGAAACCTTTGGCATTATTTTGCACGAAGTGACTACGTAGGAAGCATGGACACGGACATGATACAACACAGATACACCGACATGTCAAATTCTAAAATAGTAGGACACGAACACGGAGTGGGCACGACGAATATAAATATAATTTTTTATTTATATATTTATTAAGAAAGACAATTATATAACTTTAATTACTTTATAATTTCTATACTAAAGTTACATAAGTTAGAAGGTGAAGCTATTTGAATATTCTTTTATTATTTATGATATTACTATTGTATCCTGTCATTGTAGTTATGTTTTTGTTCTTCTTACATACTATGACATATGTTGAATGTCAATTTTTTAAAGAAAAAGAGGTGGGGCAATTTGATATATGTTCATAATGTTATATCTAGTACTGCCATATATTTGTTTTATATAAAGACAGAATGTGGGTGTCCAAAATAAGTTGACAAAGTATCCGAGATGTGTCGAGCAAGTGTCCAAAATAATAAAAATTATATTTAAATTATGGACACGGTCATGAAATGTTGGAGACGTATCAAGGAATGTCCATGAAGTGTCGCTATCCAAAACGGACATGACACCTCATAGAAGTGTCCGTGACCTTATGCTCGTCAACCCAAGCTTTTACTTGATGAGTTATTAAACTTATTTCAACTAGAATTAACCAAGTCACTTGCTTAAGCATATTTAATTATACTTCTCAAATCCCAACCGAGGGGAAAAATTTAGAAAGATAAATGGAACTTGGAACATAATGAAAATCCTATAGAAAGGAATATAAATGACAAAGCACAGCATTATGTAAGTGTGGGGGGAATCTGAAGCTATACAATATTGTGGGATTAATAAGAAGCACAAATAAAATAAATAAATAAGAACAATAATTAAGAGGGAATGAAGCTACCAATGGGAAGTTCAAATAGTGCAGCTGACTTGACATGTATTCCATTTTTCTTGCAACGTTCAGTTAAAGCCCTCATTAGCTCCTCAAGATCTGACTGTATACGATCAGCACGAACCTGTACAAACCAAAAAACATTCAAAGTTGGACTGCTTCATATAAGATCGCCATATAACATTATAGCTAAGTGGTTACAGTTACCTGAAGGATACCATCTGCACTGCCACCTTGTTCCATGTTAATGATTGCCTGATGCAACTCCGTCTTCCTCCCCTAGAAATACACCAAGTACAATTTACATCAATTAATAGAAGTTCTTAAAGTAAATCTTATATAAAATGGTTGTAATCCAAGGCATACTTATTGTAACAAATGATGGGGGCAGTCCACAAAAAACATGTAGAAAATATGAATAAAGGAAATAAGGATATTGAGATGGTCAATTGTAAAACAAAATTACAATTGGCACAGGTCAAGGATACATCAACTGCACCAGTAATGAACCTAGTATGGATATTACAGGTAGCCTGCACAGTTGGAACATCTTCTAGGCAACCACAATTTGGAAGTGAGATTATTAGAACTATAGTTGCGACAAGTACCGTAACAAAAATCAGAGTCTGTAATTTTGGTTTTATTTTCAAAAGTTGGATTAGTTAGTTAGAACTAGAATTTACTTCAGATCCATGGACTGTGAAGACAAAGTATTAGAAGAATAAAAGGGTAAATAGTAATTCACCAACTGAATTTTTTTTCTCACCAAATTAGGGATTATATGCCTTCATCTATTTCATGAAACATTTTAGGGTTCCCACTCAATTGGAGATCGCCCACCTGCTGTTTGCAGATGACACTAGTATTCTGTGATGCAGATGAGTATCAGATGACATATTTGCAGGGTCTTTTGATTTTATTTCAGGTGGTCTCCAGTCTAAAGGTCAATGTGGGTCAGAGTGTATTGGTTCCAGTAGGGGAGGCTACAGAGATCGATGATTTGGCTGACATCCTTTGTTGCATGGTTGGATCTTTCCCTATCCCGTTGTTGAGAGGTTCTAGAGGAGGCTTGCGGGGCGGACGAAGCAGTTGCTTTCGAAGGGTGGGAAGGTCACTCTAATGAAAAGCATGTAGTCGAGTCTTCCTATCTCTCTTTCAGATTCCTTCTTCGGTGGAAAAGAGAATAGAGAGGCTTCAGCATAACTTCCTTTGGGGCGGCATGGGGAAGGAGTTCAAATACCATCTTGTCCGTTGGCAGCAAGTGTGCAGGCTGATACATACAGGCGGCCAGGGGATCAGGAAACTAGAACCTTTTAATAAGTGTCTTATAAGGAAGTGGTTGTGGAGATTTGGAGTGGAGAAATAACGTAGAGAAATGAGAAAGAACAAGGTTAAACCATTGAATTCACAAAGAACATACTCACAAGAGAGAAACTGAAATTATATTGATAATGATGATGTATGTAGACTTACATCTCTTGCCTTTACATAGGCAAGTCAAAAATAAGAACAAAAAAAAGAGAGAAAGCATGCGTGAAATAATATTAAAGAGGAAATTTGAGATTTGATGGAGCACAATCCTCCTTAAATCTTGCAATGGAGAATAATATCTTCTACTATTGGCAACTACACCAAATCTTCTTATTTATTTTCTGAATTCTCCTTAATTCTTGCAATGGAGAATATATCTTCTATTATTGACAACTACGCCAAATCTCCTTTTGACTTTTCCTTAATTATTTACTTTTTTCTTCTATTCTTTTTACCTTTTCAGCCTCCCTGATTTACGATGATCCTGTATGCTCAGATAATTGTGAGCGAGCTGTTCTACATCAGTCTCCCTTGCGTAAAAAGAACTCGTCCCCTAGTTACCCAAATCTAACGGATAATATTCATGTATGTCAGCCACATTGAAGGTAGAAGAAATGGCCATGTCAGCAGGTAAATCAATCACATAGGCGTTGTCATTGATTTTCTTCAGAACCTGGTACAATAGTTGTATGTTCCCACTAGAAACCTCTCTTTTCTTAGATACACCAAAACCAAGTCCCCTTCTCCAAATACTCTTTTCCTTCGTCTCGTCAGCTGTAGCCTTGTATTTGGCGTTAGTTTCCTCCAGATGTTTCTTGACACTCCTGAATAGTCCTAATGTGCTCAGCCATTTTTTCTGCAGCAACACTATTCCCCAGCAACTTCGGTAAGGATACCAAATTCAAAGCAACTTTTGGAGAACAACAATACATAACCGCAAACAGGGATTTGCCAGTGAACCTGTCAACCATGCAATTGTAAGCAAATTCTACCTGGGCAAGAGCAAGATCCCACTGTTTTGGTTTCTCTCTTGATATACAGCGAATTAGATTTCCAATGGTCCTATTCACCACCTCTGTTTGGCCATCAGTCTAGGGTGACTGGTGCTACTGAAATTAAGAGAGGTATCGAATCTCTTCCATAAAGTCCGCCAAGAGTGAGACATGAACTTGGTGCCACGATCTGAGGTAATGGACTGTGGCACCCCATGTAAACGAACCACCTCCTTAGAGAACATATTGGCCATTTGGACTAATCGTTCATCTTCTAGAATGCAATAAAATGGGAAATCTTGGAAAATCGATCGACCACCACAAAAACAGAGCCTGCTCCTTGTTGCGTCCTCGGCAACCCTAGAACAAAATCCATGGATAAATCCTCCCATGGAGCATCTGGAATAGGCAGCGGTGTGTAAAGACCAATATTAACCTTTATTAGTTTGGCAGATTGAGCACCGCCGCACATGGTTCTCCACGTCACGCTAGAGTTACGGCCAATAATACCGTTCTTTTACCAACTCTCGCGTCTTATCACACCCCAAATGTCCTCCTAATCCTCCTCCATGCAATTCACGAACCACTTGCTCCCGCAAAGAACTCCATGGAATACACAATTGATTGCCATTAAAGAGAAATCCTTCCTGCATGTGCAACCCTTTACAGGATTGGCTCATTTTACACGCTGCCCAGGCTTGGCCAAAATATTCGTCTACCTCATATAACTCCTTTAGGCACTCGAACCCTGTGATTTCAGCCCTCATAGTCACTGAGAAAGCTATTCTCCGACTTGGTGCATCTGCAACTTTATTTTGTTGGCCTAACTTGTGTTTTAGCGAGAAGGTGAATCGTTGGATATAAGCTGCCCATCGTGCGTGCATCCAATTAACACTGCTTTGATTGTTAATTGATTTCAATGCCTGGTGATTTGTAAATAGCACGAACTCTCGCTGGACAAGATAATGCTCCCACGTATGCAAAGCTTGCACCACCGCATAGAATTCCAACTCATAAGTAGTCCACTTCTTGTGTGCTTCACTCAACTTCTCACTGTAAAACGCTACTGGTCTTCCTTCTTGTGATAGAATTGCTCTGATTCCCACTATTGAGGCATCAAAATCCACTTGGAATAGCTTCTCAAAATCTAGAAGGACTAAGATCGGGGTTGCTGACAGTTTTTCCTTGATTAAGGCAAAACTCATCTCAGCTTCCTCTACCCTCATGCATTCTATGATGGGAGCCACAACTCTACTGAAGTTCTTGATGAACCTTCGGTAGAACGTGGCTAAGTCATGAAAGCTGTGTACTTCTCCCACATTCTTTGGCGTAGCCACTCTGGAATGGCCCTCACCTTCTCCTCATCTACCTAAATGCCATCACTACAAACCACATAGCCGAGGAACACTAGGCTTGGGGTCACAAAGCTACACTTCTTCATAGTAATGAACAGTTTATTATTCTGCAAAGCTGTTAGAATTAGACTCTGATACCAACTAACATAGCGGAAATGATAAAGAACAGGATTAAACCCTTAAATTCACAAAGAACACACTCACAAGAGAGAAACTGAAATTATATTGATAATGATGATGTTTGTAGACTTACACCTCTTGCCTTTATATAGGCAAGTCAAAAATAAGATGAATAAAATAAAATAAAATAAAAAAGCATGCGTGAAATAATATTAAAGAGGAAATCTGAGATTTGATGGAGCACAATCCTCCTTAAAGCTTGCAATGGAGAATAATATCTTCTATTATTGGCAACTACACCAAATCTTCTTATTTATTTTCTGAATCCTCCTTAATTCTTGCAATGGAGAATAATATATTCTACTGTTGGCAACTACACCAAATATCCTTTTGACTTTTCCTTATTTATTTATTTATGCTATATTTGGTGTGCAAGAATGGAATAAAATAGAATGCCCATTTCAACCATTCATTTGTTTGGTATGCAGGAATGAAATGGAATGGCCATTCAATTGGAATGAAAATCCATTCCAGAAAATGAAAATTCATTCTATTACTAAACCTATGGAATGGCCATTCCATTCCACAGTAAGATTAAATATTTTTGTAATATTCCTAAAAAGGCCTTCATCACATTCCAATAAAGCAAAAAAAAATTGTATAGATTAAAAAATATTTCACATTCCATTTTTCAACTTCTTTATTAGACGTGGTAAAGGTCTTTCACCTTCCATCTCTTTTGAATATACCCAGGCTGCCATTGAGAAAAAGTTACAGGATTTTCAACCAAATTGCAAGTATTAATATCTTTATCTTCTATGTATATCACTTTTTTTTTTTTTTTTTCTTTTTCTTTTCTTCATATCTTTGTGTTAAAACGTTTGTGTGATTTCTCCATCTTTCTCTCTTCGAACATTTATATATGGAGCAATGATAATATAAAATAAAAATTAACAATCATTTGGAGTCAAAAATAATATTTTATTTTATTTTAAGGTTTTTCTTTATTTTTTTTTTAATGGCAGTATTGGGCATCTTATAACATTCCATAATTCATCGTTAGAATATTAATTAGATTTTTATTAAAAAGAAATGCCATTGAAAAGGGTATTTTTGACAAAAATCATTCCATTCCAAATTTAATGATGGTAAACCAAACAATAGAATGGTAATAATCATTTCATTCCATAACGATTCACCGTGTCACACCAAACAATGGAATAATATTCTCATTCCATTCTATTCTCATTTTCATTCCATTCTGAGCTGCATTCCATTCCATTCTTGCACATCAAACGTAGCCTTTTTTCTTCTATTCTCCTTACCTTTTCAGCCTCCCTGATTTGCAAAGATCCTGTATGCTCAAATAATTGTGAGTGAGCTGTTCTACATCAAGAAACATGCTTTAGAGGAGGATTATCTCTTGCAGATTTGGGGAGAAGAGGGGCGGTTGGAGCTCTTTAGTCGTGAGGAGCCCTGGAAGGGGTTGGCATTTGGAAAT